TCAGACTAGGCCTTTGTTAAAATAGCCACAATAACAGGCAAAAACAATGTAAATGAGATCCTTCACAGATACATGGTCAGTTGTAAGTAAAACAACAGTGTATTATGCCAGAAATATGTACAAATTGGTACTTTTGGTTTAGTTAAAAAAAAATTTTTTTGTACATTGATTTTGGTAATAAATTCATAAAATCCAACTCATTTACAAGTTACAACTGTACTGTACTTTCTGTACTGTAAAGATGTACTTTTGTTGAAGCAAAACCTTATTTAAAAAAAAGGTATACAGTGATAATGATAGTAAATAGAGATGAGCGAAGTATTCAAAAATTCGATTCGACTGATTCGGCGAATTTGTGGACAATATTTGATTTGAGTCGAATATATTCGCTGTGAATTTAACTTAAAAAAGGGTGTTTCTTAGGCTTCAGAGAGACTTAATATTAGTGCAGAACACTGTACCTTTAATTTAAATGCCCTTGGAGTCTGCTGGGGAAGAGAAATAATACTGTCAGTCAGTATGACATGCAGAGGAGTGCCGTCGATCTTAGAATCACCGGGGAGGCCGTACAGGGACCCATGAGAGACTCTGGACCTGGCAGCAGCATGAGGAGGCGGTATGGGTATATAGGGGCCTATGGCAGATTAGGGGCCTGGCAGCAGCTATGGGAGGCCCGTAATCTGCCAGCACCCTATGTCAAAAAAATTCAACACACCAGCAGTGTGAGAGACCTGAAAGTGGCACATGGCATGAGAGACTGTGGACCTGGCAGCAGCATGAGGAGGGCGGTATAGGGGCCCATGGCAGATTAGGGGCCTGGCAGCAGCTATGGGAGGCCCGAGTAATCTGCCAGCACCCTATGTCAAAAAATCAACACACCAGCAGTGTGTGAGGAGACCTGAAAAGTGGCACATGGCAGAGTGTGGCGATGGAGACAGCAGCAATGGGAGGCCGTACAGGGGGACCCATGACAGACTCTGGACCTGGCAGCAGCCATGAGGAGGCGGTACAGGGGTCCATGGCAGATTAAGGCCTGGCAGCAGCAATGGGATGCCCGTAATCTGCCAGCACCCTATGACAAAATGGAACCCTGGGGCTGGGGCAGGCAGAACCGCCGTATCTTTATCACGGTTTTCCCAGGCACCGAATGGCGACGCTGCATATGCTGACGCAACGCTGTAGTCCCAACTTGGGCCCCCTGGCCACGCTTGACTTTCTGGCCACATAGTCGACTTTACGGCTACGTTTACTTCCTTTTTTGGGCGGCTTGACGAAAAATTGCCACACCGCCGGTAGGAAACTTTGCCCCCGCTACAAAAAGGAACACAAACCCGCGTGTGAGGAGACCTGGGGAAAATGGCACCAAAAGCAGAGTGGGGCGATGGAGACAGCAGCAATATGAGGCCGAAAAGGGACCCATGAGAGACCCCTGGACCTGGCGCAGCAAAGAGGAGGCGGTATATAGGGGCCCCAAAGGCAGATTTTAAAAGGGGGGTGGCAGGGAGCTATAGGGCCCCAATCTGCCCCCACCCTATTTCAAAAAATTTTAACACACCGCAGTGGGGAGGAACCTGAAAAAATGGCACATTTGGGAGAGTGTGGGGGATTTGGGGGACAGCAGCAATGGGGGGGCCTACAGGGACCCATGACAGAACCCGGAAACCCGGCAGCAGAAAGAGGAGGGGGTATATAGGGGCCCATGGAAAATTTTGGGGGCCCGGCAGAAACTTAGGGGGCCCCTAATCTCCCGCACCCTATGTCCAAAAAAATTTAACCCCACCCCCAGTTGTGAGGAGACCCGAAAGTGGCCCCCATGGCAGAGTGTGGCGCTGGAGACAGCACAATGGGAGCCGTACAGGGACCCTGACAGACTCTGGACTTGGCGCAGCATGAGGAGGGGCGGTATATAGGGGCACATGGCAGATTAGGGCCTGGCAGCAGCTTATGGGAGGCCCGTAATCTGCCAGCACCCTACTGTCAAAAAATTCAACACCCCCCCAGCAGTGTGGAGGAGACCTGAAAGTGGCACATGGCTGAGTGTGGCCGATGGCGACAGCAGCAATGAGGGATGCCGTACAGGGACCCTGACAGACTCTGGACCTGGCAGCAGCATGAGGAGGCGGTAACTATGGGCCTATGGCAGATTAGGGGCCTGGCAGCAGCTATAGAGCCCGTAATCTGCCAGTCCCACCTATGTCAAAAAATACAACACACCAGAGCAGTGTGTGAGGAGACCTGCAAAAGTTGGCCACACTGTGTTGAGGCGTGATTCAATGCGGGAGCTTTAGTTCAGTTGTGCGTCCCAGGAACTGGTGGTTTGGGAAATCCAGGATCTAATCCACGCCTGAGTCAATTTTCACAAACTGCTGAAGATCTCTCCTAGCACTTTGGTGTGGACAGTCGTGTCCTCCCGTCGGAGTTTACAAGTATCTCCTGCCCGCACTAAACACGCTGCTCGAGGCAGGTGTGATCGGGTAATGTCGGACGGTGCACGCTACTGGCCGGGCATGACAGCCCTTTCAAGGGCAAATTCAGCTAGTTGGGGCCAAAGGTCAAGTTTCGTTGCTCCCAGTAGTCAAGGGATTGTCTACCTCGGGTTGGGCAGTGGTGCTGTCCAATGTAGGCCAAGCCTGTTGTTTGAGCATCCTGCTCCAGGTCCACCTGTATGCTGCTGCTGCTGCTCTTAGCGGCTGGTTAGTAGTTTCCTCACTGCGCTGTGTGAAGAAAGCTACTCATCATCGACATGCCCAGACTGAGCAGCCGCTGCTGGTGGAGCTGCCACTGCATCCTACCACCCCACCCCTCTCCCCTGTGCTGCCATGTGCAGCGAGAGCAAACGCTCGGAGCGCACAAAGGGCCCACAGTTGTCCTGATGGATGGACGTTTGGCGCACCAAAGGCAGGAGACCAACTGACGTGACATAGGTGGTTTTTTATAGTAACGTTCAATTTTTGGCCTCCCTCTCAGAGCAGGTGTGAAAAAGGCCACCATTTTTGAACGGGTCTGGGGGTAGCGAGGGGTCCAACAAGGTGGACAGCCAAAAGTCATCCCTCTGTCTGATGGTATCTTATTCGGCTGTATCGCTAACGCAAGCAACCGAGCATGCTATGGGCCCATTTGTTGCCAAGGAATGCGAGGGACCTCTCCCTGCCTCCATCTCCACAGCATACTGCCACGGTGCGTCTGGGTCCTCTGTCTCCTCTCATTTCCTCCTCCTCTACCAGATGCTCCTGCTCCTCCACTCCTGTCCGCTGAGTGGAAAAACCACCCATTTCATTTCACTCAATAATTCCTGAGCACCAAATGTCCTCCTCTACCTTCCTCCTCTTCTTCCTGTCCTGCCCCCACAGGGGTCATGTGGAGCTTTGAGATCTGTGCGCCACGTCTACCGCACCCTTGACCAGCCATTGTTAACAGCATTTAGTTCCCCCAGGACGTGCAACAGAGGAATGACGTCGTTCGTATCCCATAGTCCCTGCCGACTCACGAATAGCGTGGCCATCCTCAAAGGGCCTGAGCAAGTGGCAGGTGTCACCACATGAAGCTGCCAATTTGGGGGCTGAACATCGAAGTTTACACAGGGGAGTACCTTTATCCGTTTGTAACTATCATAGAAATCGGTGATGGCCATTTTGGCTGTTCGTAAAGAGCTGTTCTACCATGTGCGTAGGGTATGAATTCCACCACCATGTTGCAAACAACGTCGCAGATTCAGGAAGCGATGCTTGTGGTCGAATTCCGTTTCTGGTCTTGCCCGCTGCAAGCTCAATGAGGGTTGTCTTTGCGGTTGATAGGAATAGGGCTGAAAATGCAAGCAAGGTTTTACGTGGACATTTTTAAGGATGTTCTTGCAGTGGGGTATGGTGGATTTTTAGGAATCGCCGCTGACAACCAGATTGAACTCGTGGAGCCATGCATGGCGCATGTCACAACCTTCCCTTTGACGCAGAGCAGACAACCATGTTACTTTCCGTTGTCGGTCAACATGGTTCACCGAATTTTTTTTTTTCCAGTTTGGCGCGGATAGACAGCCATCCGGTCGATTTCTTTCTACTGTTCATTACACTGCAGAAGTTCCTCCACCCTGTGTGACTAACGTTCGCACTGAGACCTGGCACGCAGCATGAGAAGGGAGCGGTATAGGGGCCCCATGGAAGATTAGGAGCCTGGCAGCAGCTATATGGGCGGCCCCGTAAATCTGCCATCACCCGTATGTCCACAAAAAATTCAAACACACCAGCAGTTGGTGTGAGGAGACCTGAACGTGGCACATGGCAGAAGTGTGTAGCGATGGAGACATCAGCAATGGGAGGCCGTAACAGGGACCCCATGACAGACTCTGGACTCGCCTGGCATCAGCATGAGAGAGGACGGTATATTAGGGGCCTCATGCAGAGATTAGGTGCCTGGCCAGCAGCTAATGGGAAGGCCCGTAATCTGCCAGCACACCTAATGTCAAAAAATTGAGGCGGTATATAGGGGCCTATGGCAGATTTGGGGCCTGGCAGCAGCTATGGGAGGCCCGTAATCTGCCAAGCAACGGAGCACAAAGACCCTATGTATCCAAAAATTGAACACACCAGCAGTTGTGTGAGGAGACCTGAAAGTGGCACATGGCAGAGTGTGGCGATGGAGACAGCAGCAATGGGAGGCCGTACAGGGACCCATGAGAGACTCTGGACCTGGCAGCAGCAGCATGAGGAGGCGGTATATACGGGGCCTATGGCAGATTAGGGGCCTGGCAGCAGCTATGGGGAGGCCCGTAATCTGCCAGCACCCTATGTCCAAAAAAAATTCAACACACCACAGTGTGTGAGGAGACCTGAAAGTGGCACATGGCAGAGTGTGGCGATGGAGACAGCAGCAATGGGAGGCCGTAACAGGGACCCATGAGAGACTCTGGACCTGGCAGCAGCATGAGGAGGCGGTATATAGGGGCCCATGGCAGATTAGGGGCCTGGCAGCAGCTATGGGAGGCCCGTAATCTGCCAGCACCCTATGTCAAAAAATTGAACACAATCGAAACCAGCAGTGTGTGTGAGGAGACCTGAAAGTGGGCACATGGCAGAGTGTGGCGATGGAGATCCAGCAGCGAATGGAGGCGGTACAGGGACCCATGGAGACTCTGGGCTCCTGGCAGCAGCATGAGGAGGCCGTATATAGGGGCCTATGGCAGATTAGGGGCCTGGCAGCAGTGTGGGAGCCCGTAATCTGCCAGCACCCTAGTGTCAAAAAATTGAACACACCCACAGTGTGTGAGGAGACCTGAAAGTGCACATGGCTCTTCTCCTGAGAGATCGGAAGCACTAGCAGCTGAATGACAGGAGGCGAGGGCCGCCCACAGGGACCTCATGACAGACTAGGGGTTCCCTCCGCCTCACTACTAGCAGGAGACACTCGCAGCGTGTGAGGAGGACAAGACCTGTCGTATATACCGATGGGCCTCGCTCGCCAGACTTTCTCGCCCTGGCAGCTGCTGACGAGGCGGATGTCTCCCCTCGTCTCCTGACACGCCCTATGTCAAAAGCCTCAACCACCAGCAGTACTGGAGACCTGAATGTGGCACATGGCAGAGTGTGGCGATGGAGACTGAGCAGCTGGCTGGGAGGCCGTACAGGGACCCATGAGAGACTCTGGACGTCTGCTTGCATCCCTAATGAGGCGGTATATAGGGCCACTCCTCTGCATGTCTGCAGATTAGGGGCCTGGCCCCTGAGTAACAATTCTGTGTCCCGTAACGTCTGCCAGTGGTGCCCTAAGTAACAGTTCTGTGCCCAGTAACAGTTGTGTGAGACCTGTAACAATTCTGTGTCTGTCCCTGAGTAACAATTCTGTGAGGGGGTACAGGGACCCATGACAATCTCTGGACCTCAGTAACATTCTGTGTCCCTGAGTAAACGGTTTCTGTGGCCCTAAGTAACAGATCTAGGGGCCTGTAACAGCTATTCTGTGGCCCTCAGTAACTTCTGTGTCCCTGAGTAACCCTATGTCAGTAAAAATTCAACATTCACCAGTAACAATTGTGTGTCCCTGACCTGAACGTTTCTGGCCTACATGGGCATTTCTGTGGCCCTAAGTGGAACAGTTCTGTGGGCCTCAGTAACAATTCTGTGTCTGTCCCTGAGTAACAATTCTGTGTCTGTCCCTGAGTAACGTTTCTGTGGCCCTAATAACGGTTCTGTGGCCCTCAGTAACAATTCTGTGTCCTCAGTCAACAATTCTGTGTCTGTCCCTGAGTAACAATTGGTCCTGCCCTGAGTACACAATTCTGTGTCCCTCAGTAACAATTCTGTGTCCCTCAGAAACAATTCTGTGTCCCTGAGTACAATTCTGTGTCCCTCAGTAACAATTCTGTGTCCCTCAGTAAACAATTCTGTGTCCCTGAGTAAACAATTCCGGGTGTCTGTCCCTGAGTAGAACTGTGTCTGTCCCTGAGTAACGTTTCTGTGGCCCTAAGTAACGGTTCTGTGCCCCAGAACACCCTCAGCTAGTAACAATTGAGTAATCAAAATACAATACAATTCTGTGTCTGCCCTGAGTAACAATTCTGTGGCCCTAAGTAACGGTTCTGTGGCCCTCAGTAACAGTTCTGTGTCCCTGAGTAACAATTCTGTGGCCCTAAGTAACGTTTCTGTGGCCCTCTGTAACAATTCTGTGTCCCTCAGTAACATTTCTGTGTCTGTTCCTGAGTAACAATTCAGTTGTTGGCCCTAAGTAACGGTTCTGTGGGCCCTCAGTAAACAATTCTGTGTCCCTGAGTAACAATTCTGTGTCTGTCCCTGAGTAACAATTCTGTGGCCCTAAGTAACGGTTCTGTGGCCCTCAGTAACAATTCTGTGTCCCTGAGTAACAATTCTGTGGCCCTAAGTAACAATTCTGTGGCCCTCAGTAACAATTCTGTGTCTGGCCCTGAGTAACAATTCTGTGTCCCTAACTAACGTTTCAGTGGCCCTAAGTAACAGTTCTGTGGCCCTCAGTTAACAATTCTGTGTCTGTCCCTGAGTAACAATTCTGTGTCTGTCTCCCTGAGTAACGTTTCTGTGGCCCTAAGTAACGGTTCTGTGGCCCTCAGTAACAATTCTGTGTCCCTCAGTAACAATTCTGTGTCTGTCGGTCCCTGAGTAACAATTCTGTGTCTGTCCCTGAGTAACAATTCTGTGTCCCTCAGTAACAATTCTGTGTCCCTCAGTAACAATTCTGTGTCCCTGAGTAACAATTCTGTGTCCCTCAGTAACAATTCTGTGTCCCTCAGTAACAATTCTGTGTCCCTAGAGTAACAATTCTGTGTCTGTCCCCTGAGTAAGAATTCTGTGTCTGTCCCTGAGTAACGTTTCTGTGGCCCTAAGTAACGGTTCTGTGGCCCTCAGTAACAATTCTGTGTTGTTGCTGAGTAACAATTCTGTGTCTGTCCCTGAGTAACAATTCTGTGGCCCTAAGTAACGGTTCTGTGGCCCTCAGTAACAGTTCTGTGTCCCTGAGTAACAATTCTGTGGCCCTAAGTAAACGGTTCTGTGGCCCTCAGTAACAATTCTGTGTCCCTCAGTAACAATTCTGTGTCTGTTCCTGAGTAACAATTCTTTGGCCCTAAGTAACGGTTCTGTGGCCCTCAGTAACAATTCTGTGTCCCTGAGTAACAATTCTGTGTCTGTCCCTGAGTAACAATTCTGTGGCCCTAAGTAACGGTTCTGTGGCCCTCAGTAACAATTTCTGTGTCCCTGAGTAACGTTTCTGTGGCCCTAAGTAACAATTCTGTGGCCCTCAGTAACAATTCTGTGTCTGTCCCTGAGTAACAATTCTGTGTCCCTAACTAACGTTTCTGTGGCCCTAAGTAACAGTTCTGTGGCCCTCAGTAACAATTCTGTGTCCCTGAGTAACGTTTCTGTGTGGCCCTAAGTAACAATTCTGTGTCCCTGAGTAACAATTCTGTGGCCCTAAGTAACGGTTCTGTGGCCCTCAGTAACAATTCTGTGTCCCTGAGTAACAATTCTGTGGCCCTAAGTAACGGTTCTGTGGCCCTCAGTAACAATTCTGTGTCCCTGAGTAACAATTCTGTGTCTGTCCCTGAGTAACAATTCTGTGGCCCTAAGTAACGGTTCTGTGGCCCTCAGTAACAATTCTGTGTCCCTGAGTAACAATTCTGTGGCCCTAAGTAACGGTTCTGTGGCCCTCAGTAACAATTCTGTGGCCCTCAGTAACAATTCTGTGTCTGTCCGAGTAACAATTCTGTGGCCCTAACTAACGTTTCTGTGGGCCCTAAGTAACAGTTCTGTGGCCCTCAGTAACAATTCTGTCTGTCCCTGAGTAACATTTCTGTGGCTCTAACTAACGTTTCTGTGGCCCTAAGTAACATTCTGTGGCCCTCAGTAACAATTCTGTGGCCCTATCTAACGTTTCTGTGGCCCTAAAGTAATAATTCTCTGGCACTCAGTAACAATTCTGTCTGTCCCTGAGTAACAATTCTGTGGCCCTAACTAACGTTTCTGTGGCCCTAAGTAACAGTTCTGTGGGCCCTCAGTAACAATTCTGTCTGTCCCTGAGTAACAATTCTGTGGCCCTAACTAACGTTTTCTGTGGCCCTAAGTAACAATTCTCTGGCACTCAGTAACAATTCTGTATGTCCCTGAGTAACAATTCTGTGGCCCTAATAACGTTTCTGTGGCCCTAAGTAACAGTTCTGTGGCCCTCAGTAACAATTCTGTGTCTGTCCCTGAGTAACAATTCTGTGGCCCTAACTACGTTTCTTGTTCTCTCTTCCTTCTTCTTTCTTTTCTTCTTCTTTTCTTCTGTGGCCCTAAGTAACAATTCTCTGGCACTCAGTAACAATTCTGTCTGTCCCTGAGTAACAATTCTGTGGCCCTAACTAGCGTTTCTTTGGCCCTAAGTAACGATTCTGTGGCCCTCATTAACAATTCTGTGTCCCTGAGTAATGCTTCTCTGTCCCTAAGTAACGTTTCTCTGTCCCCAAGTAACGTTTCTGTGGCCCTAACTCTGTCCCTAATACAGAGCGGTCTGCCTCTCTTGAATGACTGGAGGCAAATGAAGAATTCTAAAATGGCTGCTATTAATAGCTCGACCATTACACAGTGCTGGCTGGCTGGCTGCTGATTGGCTAATGCGATCACATGTCATTAAGGAATGCATTATGGGTCAGCGCGCCTTGTCTGCGCGCCTTCCCAGACATCCCCGCTCCGTCGCCGCACATGTCCGCCGCCATTTTAGGAAAAATTTCGATTTGCGCGTCCGAAGTAGGCTATTTTTCGGATTCGGCGCGAATCGAAAATTTTCCAATATTCGACTCGAATTCCACTTCGCCTACTTCGATTCGCTCATCTCTAATAGTAAACTCCAAGACCCAAATCTGTAACATTTTATTAACGCAATCGCCTGTTGTTTCTCAAATAACTGCAGTTCTTTTTCTTTATTTTGAGTTGGAAATAAATATTTAGCTTTCAGGATGAAAAGTAGATCAAAACACGAACACTCCTATTGTTGGAAAAAAGACTTACAATAACAAAATAAACAAAAAATACACAAAATAGTGGAAGGGCACATTTATTTTTTTTCTTTTTCATTTTTGCAGTTGCTTGGATCTAAATTTGAAAAAAAATAATTTCCTTTTGTTTTTCCATCTGATTATTACAATGGTTTAGGTACCATTGAAAGTAGCCAGAAAGCTATAGTTAGTCTGGCTGAAAAAAGACAAAAGTTCATCCAGTTCAACCAAAAAATAAGATAAAGTATTATAAATTGTACAAGGTTGTTGTGCCAAGCAAGGATGGCAAATATAAACAGCTTTCCACATATTTCAAAATGGTAAATTATTTCTACAGTAGTTTTTTGGGGATTTTAATATCCAATTAAAATACTGATTTCCATAAAAGAGGATCTAATGCTTTCTTTGGATCAGTTATCAAGCTTTTATTGAAGAACTTAGACAGAATGCATTTTTCATTCTTTAGTAAATCAGCTCAGTAAGCCATGAAGTCACACAGTTTTAGGAGCATTGCTCCTCTGTAAGATGCAGATGCTGAGATCTTTACCAGAACACATAACTGTTTGCTCACAGCATGTATATACCGCACTGGAGTAAAATAAAACTGCAAACTGCATGTCAGACTGATACACTTTTTTGCATCATTAAACTGTAGAATATCTATTTAGTGTAAATGGATGAAACAGATATATATCTCTTGATCTATCTTGTTGGTATACAAGAAGACACTACGAAGTTTAACCACTTGCTTTCCAGAGGATTTACCCTCTTCAAGACCAAGCCATGTTTTGCGATATGGCATTGCGTTACTTTACCTGACAATTGTGCAGGAATTCAACATTGCACCCAAATTAAATTTATGTCCTTTTTTTATTTTTGTGCTATAAACGGCATTCTGACATTGAGGGGAACTGACTTGGTGACACTGACATCCCCAGTGACACCAATACAGTGATCAGTGCCAATAAAAAGCAGTGACACTGTACTAACGAGACTGGGCAGGAAGGGGTTAACATCTGGGGTGATCAAACGGTTAACTGTGTGCTGTTTTACTGTGTGCTGTGTGTGTGTTTTACACTGTAAACACACTGCTTTGTATTGTTCTGCTATGCAGCTGTAGCTGTAGTTACTTCCTTTCTTCTGCTATATGGTGAAAATG